TTCTTTCTACATACTTAGCATAATGTAATTATACGTTAAATTTTTAAACTACAATATTAGAGTAGACAGAACCCTAACAGTTAATTGCATTCTTTATTTGGTTATCGTACAAAAGCAAGCGTATAATTTAACTCCGTCGCATTCGGCTTAAGATATCTTAGCTTCAAGCAAATGAATATTTCTCTGAAATAAATTACATTTGCATATGGAATCGTTTACACCACAATTAAGCAAACAATTCTTTGACCTTAACATAATATAATTGATATCTCTAGGAGATCAAAGAAATCGAAAAAGATGACAATTTTCATACAATTTTTCGCTATGGAAACTAACTGAAACAATGTTATACTAGTATTTATATTATAAATGCGAAAGTTTTGATGGATGGACGGATGTTTGTTAAAGTTTGTAGCATAAAACGCTGAACGGAACTTGATTTGATTTGTCAAAGATGTGGCGGATAGTCACATAGGCTACTTTTTTCTAGTTCCCCACGGACGGAGACACAGGGCAACAGCTAGTAAATACATACGAATCTTGGAAAATTTCCCCAAATAAAACGAGAATGTATCAAATTTACTAATGGTACTAGGCGAGCATAAAACAACAGGAGGCATGGTGGTGGTGTAAATGTTTTTGTTTTGATCCAGTAGTTAGGAATATTTGAACACGTTTCGGTCGCGTGCGTGGCGAAGCTTGATAAATTTCACGCGTGCCGACTTAACTTAAACATTTGCGCTTTTGCACGATAAATAAATACCACAATCTTTAAGTGATTTTTTAAATCACTATTTAAATGGCACAATTGTTATAAATATTAAATATGAATATTATTAAATCTATATCTATACTAATAAAATAAAGCGTAAACACACATTACCTCGTGGCTAAGATGTGCAATCATAGTATAATTTTGAATAGTTATTTCTTTAATAAAAAGCCCTACATTTACGACACGCTTTAATAGCGTGAAACATAACAGCCTAAACTTAGGGGGTAAATAAATTAAACAATCCTACATGTCGGAAAGGGACCATAAACTACAATCTGCCAACATGAAGGAAGCAAGGTTGCCATCGTTTGTCATCCTGTCATGTCAGTTTGACATTTACAATTGACAATTTGACACATGTAAACAATAAAATAAAATGTTCATAATGTTATGCGGATTAAGTCGCACGGGAACAGCTAATATTAATATAGTATAATATTTAAAAAAGTCTTTAAACTTACGTTTTTACTTTACAAAGATTAATAACGAAATGATGCAATAACACTTTTCACATTATCAGATATAATTAATACTGAACTGTAGGATATTTGTTACGACTTATTTTAATAAACCAAAAAACTAAAGCAATCGTAGCTTTAACCAAAACACGGTTAATAAAAGTATATCGTTCAAATTATACGGTGTCATGACCCTGACATGGCATGAACCTTGACTGGTTAGTTAACGTTACACCTTTGACAATAGAACAACGGACTAGGCATAGAATCGCTGCTGGAAAAAATCAATTCTGTAAGTGTACGCTGGAGGGAAAGAAAGAGGTAAGGATAATGACACATTGTGTAAAAATAAAGCGTCTTTTTACAAGTGTATTCATTCATAAATTCACGTATTACAGAAGTCAGTTTAGAACTTATTGTTCGTTTTGCATATGTTAACGCGCGCTCGTCAGGTCCCGTCTTTTAAAAGCCAAAGCGTTACACTAATAATAATCGTTAATTTGAACGCACCAAAACGCCTCTACACCGTTCCTAAAAATGTTTTAAACGATATACGCACAAATTGTAATAATCACGCGAAACTCATTTCAAACCACTTTCAAACGCGAAAACTGAAAAATTTACCCTCGCTTAGATTTTATCGACGGCATCCTTGGACTTTATTTAGTACGTGTTTGAATTTGGAATCATATTTTTTTAAAGTGATAACTTATATTACTTTATTATAAAGGGTCGGTAGTGGCCAGTGTTTCTTAAGTTTAAATGTTCTATAGATGAAGATATAAAAGTGTGTTATTTTTAAACACTAGCTTTCGCCCGCGACTCTGTAAGCGTGGAATTAAAAAAAAACAATGGTGTATGTAACAACAGTAGCCTATGTGTTCTACCAGACTATGCTCTACATTTATGCCAAATTTCATTGAAATCCGTTCAGCAGTTAAGGTTACAAAGTCTAACAAACATTCATCCATCTAAACTTTCGCATTTATAATATTAGAAGTAAGATAGAAAGATAACGCAAAATTAGTTGAGGGGACATTCTAATCATTTTTCTTCTTTAACCATAATTGTCAAATCGGGAAATGTCGTCTGCGTCTCTTTGCGCTTGCTCGTTTACATTATTATTTTAAAATAGAACCATGACCTAATTATAAAAAAATACTGGCAACCATAAGGGTAAATTCTCATTTATTTTACAGTCCAATAACCACGTAAAAGCTTACCGTATCGAAAATATTGCTGGTCCTTATTAGCATATTGTTCGGTGACAAAACGTGGTGTTACACGGGGGCGTGGGGCTTTTGACACGCCAACTAATGCTCGGCCATAACAAAAGAATTAACTGTTGGAAAGTAAAAAGAATTTAGCGTTTTAATGTTGGTTTTTCGTTTGTAATAATTGTAAAACATTTATTTAAATATAATTTGTACTGTGCATTGTATTCGCACGCAGAAATGTTGTCCATACATACAATAAAATTGGAATGTTTGTTTATAATGTCAAAAAAATCCAGATTTCGGGAAGATGATGTTTTTGCGTTTTGTTTGTCTGTCTGTCTATCTGCAAGCCGCGTTTGTTCCGTATCTCCGAAACGGCTGAGCCGATTTCGACGGGACACTAGAGTGTAGCTGACATGGATAGGCATACTATAGGCTAGTTTTTTTTTAATTCCGCGCTGTCAAAATGGCGTAAAGGTACAAATTTGCACTAACGAATTTCGCGGGCGGTAGTACGTAGTAAAAAACTACAATTAATTTAAATACTACAAGTGCATTAGTATAGATGGATGGAAGGATAGATGTTAGAAGTAGAAGGTATCAAAAGTACATCTGTAGAAGAATATTGCCTTCTCGTTCGTTCTTTTTGAACAAAACAGTAATATCAATAACCAGCTGTTCTCGTGCGACTTTATCCGCATGAAATTATGAAAATTTTATTCTATTGTTTACATTTGTCAAATTATCAGTTACAAATGTCAAAATGACATGACACGATGGCAACTTTGCATCCTTGATGTTGGCAGCAACTTATGGTCTCTTTTCCACATTAGGCTTTTTATCCAAAATATTAACCCTTAAGTTTAATGGCGTGAAAATTTATAGCCTAAAGCGTGACGTAAATGTAGGGCTTTTAAAAAAAAAAGAGTTGTTCGTAAATATGCTGTAATTGCTGACATTTTAGGCAACAAAGAAGTGTATGTTTACGCTTTATTATAATAGTATAGAAGTATAGATGTAACATTTGTTCGAGGTCATGATAATTAAAACAGTTTTAAAATGTGTATTTAGGTCGAATAATGCTAACAAAAAGATCGCTGAAATTCGGTAACCAAAATCAGAACCAGCATGCCGAGTCCCTTTAACTTAATATTCGCGTGTTACGCCCGCGCTTTGATTTATTCATATTTTTTTTCGGTTTTCACGGTGATCGAGGAGCTCGATTAGCTCGGTGACCGCGCACGCACCGGCTCACTTAATTCCTAACTTACTACCGCATCACCGATAAGTATTTTTAATTTGAATAAATTATTATTTAAGGGTTTTATCGGTGCGTTATGACCGTATTTAATAATCGTGGGCGACTCACGGTTAGTGATGGGGAATTAAGTAATTGAAATAACTACAATATTAGTCACTAAGGAAGCCACTTAGTATAGGTTTAAGGTTAGAATATAAGACAAAATCTGATTAGCCATTAAACAATTATAGAGAGCAGAAGTTTGAAGTCTTGTCTATTATTTTAGAGATAGTTATGTCTAAAAACTAAAATATATACTGTTCCAGATTTAAACAGAAATCTCTGAGAATTGAATGAATGAGTGAATGAAAGATGTCATTGTTCCTTCTCAACATTGTAATCTACAAATAGTGTTTCAGTTCAGTTCTTGTACAGTGTTAACATCACTATGGTTTGACTTTACGCACGTTAGGTGTCGTGGTGGTCGCAGTGTTGGCGGGAAACTAACAACATGGCCGATAAAGATGTCACGCGTTTTAATAATTTCGGTCTTGGGGTACGATCGCGCCACCAGATTGGCATATTTTATGAGAGTAAAACTTCTGAGCCTATAAATTAAGGTTGTTTAGTCATTTGCACTACTGGTGATATGTAAGTTTCTTTGAATATCGCCGTATAAAACGGGTTCCCGCGGTACAACCTACCTTGATACAACGCATAATATTGTAAACAGAGAATTAACAATAAAGTGGTACATACCAAATCGATCCCTTCCACCTGTAGGTGTGTGGTCACAGTCTATGTCAATCCTTCTGTTCTGTCAAAGCCTTCACCGCTTCCCGTATGCACGTATAAACCGCGTTGTTATTCCAAACTGAAATTCAAAGCGACAATGTTAGTTATCGAAATCCACACCCGGCGTTCTTCGCGATGTCTGTCAAGCAATCAATCGACCTTCACACGCGGACTACGTCAATCAAAGCGGAGAGGGATTCTAAGAGCGGGACAACTTTGACTAAACTTTCGAACAATTGTTGTGCGATTGTCGCTTGTCTCGCAGCTCATTCAACTGTTTAGTTGCACATCTAAAAATCGAGAAATATGCGCACCTCCATATAAGCTCATAGGAATCATTGACTAAACAATTGAGCGGTATTTTAGTCAAAGGCATATAAAATGTGAATAAAAATTATGGTTACCCACATTATGCAGAGCCGCGAAATTTAAACAAATGTTCTCTACAGAATATGACAAATATTTAGTCTGTAATGAGCAATTATTAATATTAATTGTTGTTTTTTTTTTTTCAGATTGACAACAGCGATGCCACACACAGGTGAGTCAAATTATTCCTTTATAATCTATACTATTATAATAAAGCGTAAACACACACTTCTTTATTGCCTTAGATGTCAGCAATTACAGCATATTTTTGAATAACTCTTTTTTTAATAATAAGCCCTACACTTACGTCACGCTTTAGACTATAAATATTCACGCCATTAAACTTTAGGGGTAAATATTTTGGATAAAAACCCTAATGTGGGAAAGAGACTATAAGTTGCTGCCAACATCAAGGAAGCAAGATGTCATCATGTCATGTCATTATGACATTTGCAATTGATAATTTGACACATGTAAACATTAAATAAAATTTTCATAATTTTATGCAAATGAAGTCGCATGGGAACATCTAGTATATAAATAAAATAAAATTCATGGGCTATTATCAAAAAGATGGCTTTCCAAACGTTAAACAAATAGCATAGTCTATAAGCACATAAAGTAAATATTAAGTAAAATGCCAACTAAACTCGTTACCTCTTATCTTTATATTTAATTGTAAATGATTAAAAACGAGTGCACATATAAAAACAATTTACATTCGCCATCCGAAACTAAGTGATACAATTATTTCATGATATCCGTTAAAAGAACTACAAGCTCAAATCTTAATTAAACTAAACGTTCCACATATAAAACTCGCGCCGACAAAACTCGAATTGATAAGGTTTTTAAAAAGATACTCGCGCTTGAATCATAAGCGTTTCAAAGAACCCTGACCACTGCCCCCGGACCATTAACGGTAATTAAGGCAATCGGCAGTCGGATCTCGTATTAAGATAATATCGGATCCGTATCGGAAAGCGGCCCACCCGGGCATAAGCGACCAGTTCTCTAATTCATTATACATGCTTTAACTTACATTACTCTCTTACCGATCACTCGGAATCTCTGTTTCCTTAAAAACTATCTTTGTGTTATAGGAGCCATGTTATGCTTTAATAAAATATAGTCTTCTTTACCTTTTATTTTTTCTTCCAATTTGTAAAGAACAACCTTACCTATAACACCGTTTTTCCATGTACCCACACTCCTCTGTTCACCACTACCACCCTTATTTCTGACATTTAACTACTGTCCGATTATTAACATAACAAGTAGAATTCCGACATTTAAAAATCATGACATAAATATTAAATAATGTGTTAGATCGCAATTACAAAATTTATATTGTTATTTTAAATAAAGATAAATGGTATTGATTTATAGCACAGATTAAATAACCTTCAAAAATATAAAATACATCAAAAATAGTTAAAAAGCTAACAATATGCTACGACGAGGAGGGATCATGTAGTAGTGGAAGTAACATGAAGATGTTAGTTATGAGTGTGGTACACCGGTAGAGGTTTACTTAGAAAGAGATGGATTGCTTGAAAGGTGACATGATCTAGAAGGGAGTGACTGAGCTGACGGATGATAGAGTTATGTGGAGGATAAAAACCTGTTCCCTTTACCCCCTAAGATTTATGGCGTGAAAATATACAGCCTGAAGCGTGATGTAAGTATAGGGCTTTTTATTAAAGAAAGAATTATTCCAAAATATGCTGATAATAGATAATGATCTACCCATTCATTTAAACTTTCCTAATTACAATATGCAATACTAGTTTTCGCCCGCGACTCCGTCCGTATAGAATTGAAAAAAACAAATGTGAGTAGCCTATGTGTTCTCTACATCTATACCAAATTTCATCGGAATCCGTTCAACCGTTAAGGTATTTTAGTATGATGATTTCTATGTTCTGTTCTATATGTAATCATTCGCTTAGTCGCAAGCAAACTCGCGTGCACCAGCTAGTAAAACTTAAACGATGTTAAACATGATATTTATCGTTATATCTTACAGTGTACTCATAAACGCGATATCACATTTAAAAACATATTAAATCTCGTAGATACGGCAAACTATGTTTGAAGATATTTCATTAGAGGGATCACACACGTCGTTTCCGGATTTTTTTAGACGCCTCTTGAATTTTCTTGTATCTCTAGCTACCTAATAATCTTAATGAGCGTGCTGAGGTTTGGATGCGGCGAGGCGATTTATCTATCGATAGGGTGAATAATAACGATACGATGAATTCCAACACTACTTTTATTTAAAGAATTTTATTCGTATTGATGTTGGGATAAACGAAGTAACTGGGACATGGAAATCGAATTATCTACAGTAGTAGACGGCTAGTAAGCCGTCGAATCAATCTGTGAGAAATTAAAAAAAACTTCAACAATAGCTTTTCTTACGTTCTTCTTCTTCTTCTCTACATTTACACCAAAATTGAGATCCGTTCAATCATTTCGAAATTACCTTCTTACAAACAATATAGTTTCGCATTAACAATATTAGTAAGAATTAAGATTGATATTGTTTATTTTTGTTACTGTCATTTTGTAAACAATTGAATGCAGCGGTGAGAGAAGCAGGGAAAAGCACTTTCTTAGACTCATCTATGTTCGAAATTCATACAATTAACAATTATCCTAAAGTAATTGCTTTATCACTTACTAGCTGTTCCCATGCGGTTTCATCCGCATGAAATTATAAAAAAATTATTTTACTGTTTACATTTGTCAAATTCTCAATTGCAAATGTCAAAATACCTTTTACCTTACTATAGCAATCTTGCTTCCTTGATGTTGGTGGCAACTTATGGTCTCTTTCCTACGTTAGGGTTTTTATCCAAAATATTTACTCCCTAAGTATAATGTCGTGAAAATATATAGCCTAAAGTGTAAGGTAAGTGTAGGGCTTTTTATTATAATAAATATTATTCAAAAATATACTGTAATTGCTGTCATCTTAGGCAACAAAGAAGTGTGTGTTTACGCATTATTATAAAAGTCTTTATTGATGTTTAGCTGAATATCAAGACATATCATTAGATTTGTATGTTAAAACTGGGTTAAATACACTTTATATGTTCCTTTTTACTCGTAACGTTGCTATAGAGAAACATCTTTACTTAGGCAACCGTGCTAATTTGATATCCCTAAGCCCTTCTGTGTAAGTCAGGGGAGGATTAGATTTTAAGTCGTTTTTATATTGAAATAAAATGTTTATATTTTTAATATTTTACCGACATGTACCGTACATAAAGTTGTCAAAATGATATTAATGGTTGTAAGTATATAAATTCATGAGTGGACCGGCGACACGTACGTTATCAATAGTATGGATCTAACGCATCGCAATGAACGCGCTCGTCCGGTTTCTGGGAGTTTTTATCGATGTCATGACGCCGCACCGCCGACGGCCGAGCTTTTGACGCCAAATTAACTTATCGGGTTTTCTGGGCGGCCGCAATTCAAAACGATGCGTATTAGAATAATATGGATACGACTAGATATTAAGTACCGTAAACAAGGTAATTAGTCTAAGGGCTATCACTTTGTAACGCGAGGCAATACATGATGGGATACATGAAATAATAAATTAAAACAGCAAGCAAAAAAAGGTTAATTTAAAAAAAAATTGATATGCCAGTGAATTTTAAAAATCAATTTGAGAACAATCATTGCAAGACTTCAAATTGTATTACAGTCTATAACACTTATTACTAGTAGGTTTAATTTGATATCAGGGTATATCTGTAAATTTTATTCTTATCCATATTAATATAACCGCTACAGTTATCGGACGTTCTATATCAAACGAATCTAAGACATCACATTCGATTTTCTACTTCGATGTTTACAACTGTGTTACAATTTAACGTCATAAACTTTTATATTTTATTGTTAATTAATTGAATCGGAAAAGAACCCGGTCTTCAGATTCAAATGTACCAACCGAGAGGTGCAATATTCCATAATACCTCACGAGTATGTAACAATCGATTTTATTGTATACGTTTTAATGAATATCGATTTTTTGTACGAAATATCGATTCGTAAAGTTTGCGATTGAGAAACGATTATCTGTGTTGAGATTATTTCTTAATTTGATTTCGAAATTTAACCTCAAATCGTTGAGATTACTGTTATCGGATTAAAGTTCATCGCAATAATTACCTACTAGTTTCATCATCATCTTCCTTTTTTTCCTGATGGGAATACTTTATGCATACTAACACGCCCAAGGGGACACGGTAGTTATGTGGCATTCTCCTCTTGCGAGGCAAACCCACTGATCCCCTCTGTTCCTCCAACATATTAGGCTGATGCCATGGGCACGCTTTCGCTTTCCTGCCGCCTGCGTCATCATCTCCCCTTCCTTATCCTATCCCCGTAGAATTTTTGTCCTCCAGGTTAATCATCTGGTATCTCAGTCGTCACTCCCTTTTTGATCAGGTCACCTTTCATTATCACATGCGATTCCTCCCCCTCGAAGCATGTCCATAACATGCTAACCTTTTACTTCTTCCCTACCTTTATTGTTACTGCTTATACGTGTTTGTACGAATTCTACTAAATCAGTTGAATTTATAACCTACTAGAAATTACAGTGAAGCCCTGAAATAAGTACTACCAATAAAATAATCGATTAATTAACTTACTGTAATTTCTCGGACGCACTTTCATCGTGGCGTTCGCAATAACTTCACCTAATTAAACTTTTATAAAGACAGCTCAGAATTTAATTAAGACTAAGCAATAAAAACCGAATACGGTAACGAAACTTACGTAAAACTTTTTCATGCCTCGCAAAACTGCAATCAGACAGGGCCGTATTTGTTTCGATTTGAAATTTATCCTTATAATTTTTGTAACTAGAACTTTATACTAATCAAAATATAAGATTTGAGTATATCATGTTCTGTTTTTTAACTAATTTAATTTACCACAGCAATTAACTAGGACAAGTATCGTAAGTATTATAGACAAATTTAGAAAAGTACAATATTTTAATATAAGCAAACTCGAACTTGTGAATATCTTAAGAAATTAATTTGTTTCTTCTTATGAATTTTACAAATAATTTTAATTTTAGTAATGTACAGAAAATTACGCTTGATTCCACCAATCCGTCTCTGTTTCTTTGATATTGAT